AACGTACCAAAACCACAATATGGTTATGAGAGTTTATGAGGGTAGAGAGCTGCGGAAATTTCGACCACCTGGGCTTCTTAAACGTGCACCCAAATCTGAGCAAACGAGTATACAGCATCTTCGCCTCCATCGAAAATGGAACCGCTGCAGCCGAGTACCTTATAGCCACTAGACCATGCACCGCGGCGGGGCTACACGCGACTGCCGAGTGCATGCATTCACTGATAATTGGTTTGATTGCAGTCTACAAATGTATAAAAGTTCCACTATATGTCAATGAGAGTACTGAAAAGACAATACTTGTGTGCTTGTAGGCAAGCACTAACTACTGTGCTGAATACTTTACTGGATTCTGTGCATACACAGTATTCAGTAAACTTTATAAGCACACGAACTGGCAAAAGCCTTATACGAAATTCGCAGTTTTACACTGAGGGAGAAAAAATAATTTGATGACTTTGATATATTCAGTCATCACACAGGAGAAATGTGTGTGTGTGTGTGTGTGTGTGTGTGTGTGTGTGTGTGTGTGTGTGTGTGTGTGTGTGTGTGTGTGTGTGTGTGTGTGTGTGTGTGGCGGAAAGAAATTTCGGGGTGAGAGGCACGGGTCCGCAGCGCCACCCGGCATTTCTCGCGACACTACTGCTCAGTATACGTCGACGCTCTATCTTCATGCAATCATCTGCCTACCGCGCAATCGTGTTTGAGTACATATCATACGCCTCGAGCAATACATACATATATTGGCCAAGTGCGTCCCTATTGTTACATACGCGAAACATCTATAGCACCGAGCGTGCACGGTACTCGTCGCTCTGTCAGCCCCGTGGAGTATAGAGTGATAGAGAGAGAAGGTAAGAAGAAAGATGGCAAGGAGGAACGCTCGCTCCGGAAATCGATCGTCTCGAGGTGGATGCCTCGCAGCGATCAGCATAGAGAACGGCGAATTTGCCGAGGAGGAGGAATCGGAAGAAGGGGAAGGTGGGATCTGACGAGGACGCCTCTATCTATGCATGACGTCGCAGTGCACAATACGCCCGCCTCGATCCTCACCGAGGTATAACTCGTATGTAGGCATATCGCCTTGGCGCGCATAAATGTATGCAGGTCCTCTGCATGTTTTCATAGAAGTGCACGTGAGCGAGCGCGCATTTTCCGCGCCGAGGATTCTGCGCGGCACTGCATGCGTGGGGTGTACTCTGAGCAGGTTGGAGTCGTCCATGCGTGCGCCGCCATTATTATTGAGCCTTTGAACGCTAAGGACGCTGGGAAAAAAGAAAAGATTCGCACACCACGGCACCGCGATGGCCCGCATGCGTATGTATAGAGTATTATACATGCATGCCAGGGTATACAAGACAGCGAGAACGCGCAAGGCTATAGCGAGTGTTGCGGAATATCCGCAGTGAGCTCGCTCTCGCTCGCTCGGTGAGCGGCACGTTTTGCAGAGTGCACGAAGAGGTCGAAGGGTAAGCGGAGAAAGGCGATCGAAAGATGAGCACGCCGGCATCTGTCGAGCTCTGAGCGCGGTTGTTGGGAGCGCGCACTGCGCACGTTGTCGGCGGAAATGAACTTCGGATGGATGCATGAATGAACGCACCGATAGATGGATGAATGGACAGTTACAGTACAGAGGTAAATGTATGAATTGTAAAGGACTTTATTGAACGCTGGCGAAGCAGCGACCAGTATCTCAAGCAACGTTTGAAATCGCGGGATAGATAGATAGATAGATAGATAGATAGATAGATAGATAGATAGATAGATAGATAGATAGATAGATAGATAGATAGATAGATAGATAGATAGATAGATAGATAGATAGATAGATAGATAGATAGATAGATAGATAGATAGATAGATAGATAGATAGATAGATAGATAGATTTTAAACATGTTTCATGTGCTTTTATCATTTCCTCATCATCCTTCCTGCGCTACACTTGATAAAATGAAAGAGTTGCTCTCTAAGCGACAGTGATAAAAAAGTGAGTTCTACTGTAAACGTTTCTTCTTAACATCGAGTATATACATAACGGCACGTCTACGTCAGCCGTCACGTTGCCACATACGGTGACACAAGCACAAGTGACTGGCGTTGCACCGTCGCCACCGTGCTCCGCAGCCATGTACCAGTCAGCTTAATAACGACGGGCACAATTCCACTCGCCGCTGCCACCGTTCCGGTCCTCCCACGTCGAATCATGGTTCGGCGCCCAACAACATCCTCGAGGTCATGCTCATGCTCGAGGTCTTCGCAGCAACATGCTCGAGGTCTTCGAGTGCCATCTTCAGTCTGTAGACAAAACTGCAGTCCATAGACTGAACGCACGGCACTAAACTCTTCCCAGCCCTGAACATCGATGCAGTCCATCTCACGTTTTTGTCGACTGTATCCCTAACGGTGGACTGCCACCACGACCGAGGTGATCCACGTTTCCTATAGGCCGGCGACTTTTGCCACGCATCGCCTCCTGACATCCAACCTTCGGTTGAGCGATTCAGACTTTGGTGAATGCGACGATAACCAGGCCTGCTAACCACGTTGCCATGCCCTATACGGCATGTCTCACGTGCTTGCGGAAACCGCTGGCGGCACCCGCAGCGAGCCAGCTGACATCTCATGCACATGCGGTGAGACTATCACCAAGAAGCCGACTGCCGACAAGGTATAACATCTCTGTTGGTCGTGAGCCACCTTGCTTATATGGCTCGCCGACGGCGTATACGTAGACAATCAACATGCTGGCCCGCTCACATGGTCTTCTGTACCACATATCCAAGGTGTTTTCACCTCCACGTGCGCTCCGTCCTATCGCGATGAAGAGACCGCGCCTTCTGTGATATAAGACTTGCTACCAAGCCTATATCTGGGGGAGAGCTGTGGCCAGCTGGTCATCGGCAGCCAGCCGGTCAGAGAAAAAGACGACGAGCACCGATGGCTCTTGGCGCGAGGCATATACATATCGCTTCGGCACAGTTTACTGGCTTGGGAACCTCGGCTTGCTGAACGCCACGGCAAACGCTCTTAATCGGCCTCTCGCGTGGTCGTATACGCCTTTTCCTTCTCAATAAACGCCCGACGATGGCACCTGTGTACGTCATCCGTAGACAGGTCGCAGCAAGGCAAGGCCAGCTTTCTCGAAGCGGCTTGTGCTTGCAAGCATTCAGAGTGAGACAACAAGCTTCGGGTTTAGCAAGCGTTAAAGGACCATAGATCGTGACATTACGCTTCCTATAGGGCGTTCGCCAACCACTTTAACGAGCGCGTCTTCTACGTTCCGAGACCTGACGTAACCGCTTTTGCAGTTGCCGTTTTCGCTTATTACTAATACAGCGCTCTTCTTTTTCTTCGAGTATCTTAGCGATCGCGGACTTTCGCGCCCATTAGCGCTTAGTTATGAGTTGAGCAGCGTGATCTCGTTCCCATCTATAGATGTGCATACACAGTGCACCTGCTCCGCTTCTGTACACACCGTAGTGTTGCAATAATGCGCAGCCACCGCAAGAGGAGCCATTATACCTGCATGCACGGAACGCCGCGACGCTATTTTCTGACCAGAGCTTAAGAGGCGGCAAGTCGCCTGCACGAAACAAGATAATACAGGTAAAAGAATAACGACCGAGAGAGAAGGGGGAAAAAAAGAGGAGCGTCGAAGAAGCCATCTGCAAGCCGTTCGAGCAGGCGTTCGAGCGTTCACCTAATTGGCGCACGCTTCGGCGGCGCCCAATTAGGCTTGGTTGCGCACCGTCAAAAATATATATACGAACACAATGCCCGCGCACGCACGGGGTATACAGCAGGGACATTCGAGTCTCGATTCGCCGTGCCTCGGTATATGTATACCGTAAATAGGAGCAACGCTGCAGCGGTCCCGAAATTCCGGGAACCGGACCGAACTCTCTTCGATCGCGGCTGCCCAGGTAACCTGGACGGTGCACCGCCATCCCGTTCGATTGATTGGCTCGGTTAGGTATAGGGGGAGTGGAAAAGGTGTAAAAATTGAATTAAGCCGCGAACGCTAGCGTCCCGAGAGAGACAGAGAGCGCGTACAGTGTAAAAGAGGACTATACATGTGAATTTGAAAGGTGATGATCGATACAAATATATAAGCACGCACGCGAGAGTTTTTCGGATTTCGTCTTTGTCAAAATACGGTCGCACCATCACCGGCGGAACGGAATGGTGCTCTGCAGCACAGTTTCCTAGTCACTGGAAATAGCGGCTGTAGAGTGAGGTTTAAAGGGGGGGGGGGGGGGAGACATCACAGTTACGGCTAATGCGTTTACCACACTGCAAGACTCTTGCTTTACATAAGACGAACAGAAAAGGCATAATTTCGGCTGGCTTCACGGCGTGGCTAATGCAATGTAAGAAAGGCGGCTGCACAACAATATGCGTGATCTTTGTAGTTATTTTTTTCCTGTAGTTTCTATATAGTCGGGGAAGTGTCCTAGGCGAGAAAAGACGTTATCAAAGTGAAACAGCGTCCCAACATTATCATGCAAGCTTTGCGCAATCGTCGGTCGCCGGAGGGCAAGTTAGCCTTGACCGTTGTTCTCCAGTATTGTTATTCGGTATCGAATTCCTTAGCGTGCTTCGTGGACGTTGTACGCAGCGGCGTCGTCAAATTTTTAAATGCCTCATCAAACGGGTAGAGCGACCCTTGGCGTCAACGTGACTGAGACAGAAGATCATGATCATCGTGTGATGACGTCATCATGACGTCATAACAGGTGTAACACGATTGCACGGTTCTTTCCGGCCCAGAAGGCAGCGCGGCTCCACACCACGGGAAACGGAATAATGAAGGTACAGAAGATGCAGTATATAGTAGATATAACCAAACGTCAGGATCTGCAAGCATCCGCACGTCTTCGACCTCCATCTAGCGTAGGCGACCAAATCCGCATCCGCCGAGCACACCTGCCATGCAGGGATTCCTGGACGCTACCAGTAGAAGAATCATGCATACGATATTATCGTCTATAGGGCTCACCCTTCTTGGCGTCGTGTGCCGTAGGGCTGGCAGCAGCCGCGAGCGCCGACGGGGTGAGAGCCCCGGCCAGCGGACTCGGCGGTGCGAGGGCTGGACCCCCCGCCGCTGCCGACAAGGGAGGCGGCGGAGCGGCACTGGCGGGGTACCAGGGCCACGGCTGTCCGTTGAGCATGCGCAGTTTGTCGTACACTGACTCCGGACACCCGCCCCCGTGCACGGCTGCGGCCGCGGCGGCCGCCGCTGCTGCCGCTGCGGCAGCCTGGTGGTGGTGGTGCTGCGTCTGTTGCTGGTGCTGGTGGTGCTGCTGCTGCTCCTTCTGGGCGGCGAGGTTTCGCAGGACCCGGTTGATGGACGACACCTGCATGTCACGGTGGAAGGTGCACGTCGGTCATACGGTGTGCTTACATTATATGTGCGCAGTTACGTATCATGTACGTACAAACGGATGCACAACTGCACCCAAAAAAGATTACGGAGCGGGGTCTTACTGCAAGTACGAATTTCTGCTCTGTTAGCGCGCGGCACTTCTAACCTGTAGCAGAAATCTGTATATATATAGGTCACAAGGACTACTAGAGACTGAAACATCCATTTGGAGCTTTTGTTCTCAGAGAAAGCGGGAATAGCTATAGCTTTCTCCGAAATGTCATGCTCAGCAAACTTTTGATGGCGAGGACAAATTATATGCGCACAGATGGAACATAATAGTTCTCAGCCGACGATACTGTCTACTTTTTGAGTTCCACCCCCTGCGCAGTTTTACTCCACTTTCATTTGTGCATACTTGTGGCTATGTGTCCTTCCACATGCTCATGTATGATTATAACGCGTAATACTATATGGTTAAGTGGGGTTATGTTTGGTTATTAGCGGTTAGGTAGGCTTACCTATCATCATGCGTATATATATTGAGCAAATGGGTTATTGTGATTATGTATACACACACCGTTGTCTGTGGCTATGTATGATTATATATGATTTTATTTGTGGCTACCACGTATGGTTATAAGTGGCTATCTATCTATATCTATCTATCTATCTATCTATCTATCTATCTATCTATCTATCTATCTATCTATCTATCTATCTATCTATCTATCTATCTATCTATCTACTTTTCTAATCATGAATCCTGGACATGCGCCCACCGTATACAGGCTTTTTTTCGAAAAGCAATCTTCTACATAACGGTTCAAATGTGACGTAAACTTTTGACTATTACACTAACCAGTTGCATCAATAGTCCCCATTAGAACACACCATACTTACGATGCCAATTTTCCACGTAAGAGCGAATCATAATGAAAAACAGTATTAATTGTAAGGCACGCTAATCATGCTTGAGTCTCGTTTCGTATATCACTGGGAGCCACGCATCACTGCGCTCGCTTGTCGCGTTTCTGTTTTCCCATTCGCCTTTCAAAACGGCAAAGTTCGAAGCGGGAAAGCACATGCACGCTTACGAAACCTCCAGTAAATGAAGTACCTGACAGGCTGAATATATATAAGTAACCAAGGTGACACGGTTTGCCAATATATATGTTCAAGCTTGCATATAATAACGCAACAGTTCACATAACGTATACAAAAAGAAGGCGACCACCTTAACAAAAAGAAAAAAAAAACAATATCCTGCCCGAAGCCTTTTCTGTCGGGCTATGAGGTATGTTAATGCAGACACCTCTGTAAACTAAGCGTGCTGGCGATTGTTTCTTTGCTTCTTTGCGTTTTATGACGCTTTCTTACTATTAGTTTAGTTCTCTTTCTTTCACGCCGTTACGATACGTCCATACACGAACTGGTCGAAGGACGCGCACGTCGAAAAACCGCGCACCACCGAATGCAAAAGAGGTCGTTCCGAACCGTTGCAATCCGAGTCGCAACGGAAAAGAAAGCTGCCGAGCCATTGTTTCTGCGAGAAGCGTTGCATAGCCTCACCGCCACTCCCATTTCCACCACTGCATGCATCACCGCTCGAGCTGCCATGGGCCTCGCAAGAACAGAGCGTAAAGTCAGCAAAGCATTTGCTCTCCGGCTTGCGCGTGGCCCTGGCATTTCGGAAGCACAGATTCGCGTATACGCATAACAAAACTGTGGCGACAAACAAACGCTGCGCAGTGTCAGTGGTCACCGCCGAGCCGGAAAGGAACACGGCTTCAGCTCTGCTTCTCGCTTGCTTCGATCTGCGCCCAGCAGAGCTCGTTGCGACGCGTGCCCTTCGTGCAGTAAACATACGCTTAGCGCACGCTATTGAGTTCGTTTAATAGAAATTTGTTAGAACAAATGATTTCTGGGGTTTCAGGCGTCCCAACTGCATTATGAGACGCCGTAGAGGCGCTTCGGTATGATTTCACCTGGGGTTCAAAGAACCACAGGACACGACCTGTTTTATTTCAACGTACACTATAACTATAACTTAATATTGTATAGCAACATTTTCTACCTCGAATATTGCATATATACATTACTCAGCGTACCAACGTTTGCATTCAGCTGTACTAGACCAACATCGTGTCCCAATATAGATTTCAATCTTTATTATTTCGTATTGTTTCAGTTGATTTCGTTCATGACTTGTTATTTTATACACCCCTCTCCCCTCTGTAAAGTTTTGTGAGATTGAGGGTACAAAATATATTAAGTGAAATAAAACTAAGCGAGCCCCTGAATCTATGAACACGATTGATTGATTGATTTGTGGGGTTTAACGTCTCAAAACCACTATTTGATTATGAGAGACGCTGTAGTAGAGGGCTCAGGAAATTTTGACCACCTGGGGTTCTTTAACGTGCACCCAAATCTGAGTGCACGGGCCTACAACATTTCCGCCTCCATCGGAAATGCAGTCGCCACAGCCGGGATTTGATCCCGCGACCTGCGAGTCAGCAGCCGAGTACCTTAGCCACTAGACAATCTATGAACACGGGTCTCTATAGTATTTCGCCTACGTCGCAAAGCGATCGCCGCCGCCGGGATTCGAACCCGCGACCTGTGAATCAGCAGTCAAGCGCCATATATACACCGCAGCGGTTCATGTTTACCTGTAGCTGTACGTATGGTGGTTCAGTAAGCGCGGCCATTATGAGTATAGTATATATATGCATAATTCACGCTCTGCGCCTTCATCTTGTTTAATTGTTCTATTTTTCGCGCGTCTGCTTCTCTCTTCACTTTCCTTTCCTACGCATCTCCCCAAATTGTAGGGTAACAAACCCTGTCCCACAATCCTGGTAGACCTCCCTACCCTTCACTCATTATATATATACAAGTTTTGTGACTATGAACGAAAATTCATCATCTTTCAACTATACATTGTGCATGCATTGCGTAGCAACTACGTAATGAGTACAATTGTGAGTAGCCTTAAAATATTGTAGAAGGACTGAAAGCTGGGCCATGAATTACTTGTACACATGAACACTTGACAGTACTTGAACATATTTTAACACAGCGCACGACTACGCGGACACAAGAGAAGAAGGGATTAACCGCAGCGCTGCATTGTTGGTTTCATTCGCTTCTTAAAGGGGCCCTACAACACTTTTTGAGCATGGCCAGAAAACGATGCCCATAGGTTGTAGAGACTCCCGAGAACATGCGAGCCGGATATTATAGCGTAGAACGCGGCATGGAATTGACAAATAATATCAAAGTCAGCTAAAATTGTCTTCTCTTCTCTCGACAAATGACGGAATAAAGCTCAAAAATCACTCGTAGAAGGCCATCTATCAGCCATTGGCTGATTTAAACATGGCCCGCTCGGACAAGTCACGAGAGGCCGCGACTTGTGCACGTGTGCGCGCGTGATCACACTGAAAAAAACCATTGTTACGACCGTCATCATTATTGAAGTTTTTCGGCCTTTGTGAACGGGACGAAAATATTTCGACGCATTCCAAGCAAGGGTGTGCCGTCAAGACGGATTAATTTCCTCTCGGCAAAACCTGAACGAGGGGTTCGAGACTGGTGCGCGCAGAGAGAACGCACGAGCCAAGAGAGGCCATTGTGAGCTCGACTCAAGAAAGGTCATTGTGTTTGCTGCGAGCAAGGCTTTCGAGACCGACAAGGAGGCAGCTGGGCCATTTTCAAGGTCACCGAGGGTCTGAAAATCTCGGAACCAGCATGGTATTGCAGTTCAGGTTGCAAGCTAAAGCCAAATTGGTTGTGTCTGCATCTTTCCAGGACAAGCGGAGCCCCGAGATATGTGCAGCTAAGTCGCAGCTTCTAGCAAACAACCAGGAATGGAATGTGGGGGTGAAGAAAAGGATAATGCACTATGTGCTGCAGCCCTTGCAGGAGCCCGCTTCGGCGACCAGGGATTAGTTGACTAGTCCTCCTCCTCCCCCCCCCTTTCTTCATAGGATCGGCTGAATGGGGTGGCATATTTTGACGATATGCTGGCCAACCACTACATTGTCCTACCCAAACAGTCAGGCAAGTTTGACACGTGTACTAGCAGCCGGTTTTTCGAACCTCACCCAGCTGCCAGAAGAATCTTGGAAGCTATAAGATCATCGGACGTGCGCGAAACTTGGTGACGTGTGCGAAAACGTCGGTGCAGTGCTTTGGTGACCATATTTGGGCATCGTGTGGACTGTGCCCTCTCCGCATACATTGTGTGGTATCTTTCCTCTCCTTCGTGGGTGGAGCACCTATAGACCATGCAGCGCCGGTATTGGCTGAAGCCGCGGACAGTGCGCCCAGCGTTGGCAACGCGGCGCTATATAAACGGAAGAAGACTCTTGTGTATTCTACAAGTTCTACAGTTCAACAGCTCTCATGTACAGTTGATCACTTGATCACATCCTTTCTAATTCTGAGTTACTAACCATGTAAATAAATTGTTGTCGTTTTTACGAGCGCCTCATCTGACTTGTTCGACGGTGGGTCCTGGGACGGGGGCGCGCTACCAAACTGAGACCCGCGGGACCCGGAGTCGCAACACCATGTATTCAATTAAAAAAAAAAGAAAAAAATGCGCAAGGTCACGAGGCGCGCACGACGTATTTTCTTTTCCCATGCCATTCCTACTCCCTGCTTAGCTTTCAGCGCTTTCGTCGGGACGAGAGAAGAAAGAATGCGATTGCAGCGTATGACAAATCTCTGCAACTCCGCTGGTGCTGGACGGATTCTTAAAATTTTTGCGTTGTTGAATTCGTAAGACAATAAGCATTTTTAGTTGATCTATTCTACGGTTACTTTATATAAGTGTTTCAGGGCTCTTTTAAGGTCGAAGGTATTTCGTGAAGGTCTATAAAATTCAATGGCGATTTTGGGTAAATGTAAAAAAATGCTATGACTGTTAGTTACCTCTAATTACTTTCGTGTATCTCAACGGCAAACATAATCGAACACATAGCGAATGGCGCTGCTGTTGAACGATTATACGGGCGCATATATATATATATATATATATATATATATATATATATATATATATATATATATATATATAGTAACAGATCAGCAACAACGGATAAGTCGGGTTCGCTCAAGTTTGGACACCAATGCCCTAAATCTACAAACGATGCAATAAAGCTAAAGAATAAGGAAAGACAAAAGCGCGTGATGTCGCGAATATCGCGATTATATAATTGATACTCGCATACACTGCCCGGCAGATAATCCGCAGAACAGATTAACCTTCACCTCGTTGCTGAGACATGACTACTATTAAATGTTCGTGCTTTAATCAGGCATGCACTCACTTGAGCATCGTCCGAGATGCATAGTTGGCGCACCTTTGACGTAAGAACACGTCTATTTATATATAGCTTGTTCAGCCTCGGGATACGTCAGCGGTTTTTCGCAATCTGCCGTGCTTGCGTCGAAATGGGCGCGACAATGATCTTGCACCGCACCCGAATTTTTTGCGCATGTTATCCGCGCGCTTGTATATACATACGACTGCGTTTGTCCTTGTGTGAGCGACATTGCGAAATGCGAAGGATACGACGACAGTCGGCAGCCGTTGTGAAACTCTCTCGCGACTTTTGTCGCACCACACGTCCTTTGAGATGTTTACATAGACGCTTTTCACCCCTCTCTTGTTGTGTGACTAAGCGATCGTTCTGTGATCCGCGCTCACGAACGAAGCTTCACATATGTACCTCGCCATACTTAAAACAGGCGTCAGACCAAGGTCTTTTCGATCCCATCTGGTCTTCGAAGGGTTTATGAGCCTCGGGTTGACAAGCACATGTGTTTGAAGCAACGTTTCGAATCTTTACTTCAAACCCCTGTTTCTATAGCTCTTCTTCTTCTAAAGACACGAATTATGTGCCGTATGCATGTTTCGAGCATTGTTGGCAAATAATTTTGTACTTCTTCCTGTTGATATCAATGTTACAGCGTAATCGAGTTGAATGATCGCGGTCGCCGCATGCTATAAAGCCAACTTGATGAGCAGTGCATCGATCACATGAAAATTTTTTTCGGGATTTTCGACGGTGCGTCATTGTTATTTGTTTAAAGCGTGACAATCCATCACTTTTAATTAACGCACCACCAAGACAGTCACGAAACCTATGTTAGAGCTTCCAATAGTGAGCTATGCACTTTCTTACACCCTTTAATATCTCTGAGCGTGAGAGGCATGCAGACTGAGCGAATTGTCCACTATAGCATTGTCATTTGAAAGAACGCCTTTCCAATATACCAATATGAGTCATTTCTTAAGGATATCTGACCTCAGGTTTTGAAAAACATATTGATATTAATCCCCATGACGACATAAACCTGGACGCTGATTCTGAAACACATTGAGTCATCTTGCCACGGTGATGCTCTAAACTCGTGGTGACCCCATCAGGTCATCATCATCATCATCAGTCTGACTACGTCCACTGCAGGACAAACGCCTCCCCATCAGGTGCTTCAAGCAAAAAAATTTTAAAAAAACTTCTTGTGACCAAAGACCTGGAAGAGCAACAACAACTCGTCGCCAGGGCCAAGAGGGCAGTAGAAGCCAGAGGGTTCCTGGAATAAGGAGCTCTCCCACCTGAGGGTGACGCCGGGCATTGCTCGGGGCACCGTTTCAAAAATAGACGTTCACTTCTGTCTCTCTTGTGACCAGACTCGCTTCTGTAGCTTACCGAAACAAAGCACTATCTGTTGCAAGAGGCCAAAAGACACTGAGATTGCAGTTTAGCGCCAAAGGTTCACGGGACGCTTGTTTGAGACTTATGGCGTGGTGCAAGCGGAGGACTCACGCTTGGTATGTTGTCGTTGTTGCAGACTCCTTCGGAGAGAAGCCGGTCTCGTATCTCCCAGGCGAAGATGGACGGGCATTCTCGCTTGTACTCGGCGATCTTGCCCACCACCGGCGGAGTGGCCACGCGAGGCTTGCTGCCCCCGATCGCCCGGGGACGGATCGAGCCCGTCTCGTAGTACCTGCGACGAGAGTTTTCACTGCGGTGTGTATGTATATACCTCGTTGGTGTATCGTAACTATACCCCCTTCCCCCAAAGAAATGAATGATTCTGCTAAACGTTACATACTCTTACGTCTATAGACAACAGGTGCAGGCAAAGAGCTACTCTCAAGCAAATTTTCATTTAAAACTCGAGCGGTACACCGACAAAGTGTTGATGGTGATCTGCATAAGGGTCATTGTATTTGGCTTCCACATTGAAACTGCTGGCAACTACTCAGTGGTACGAGCACTGAGCGACACAAATTGTTTCTCTCTCATGCACTTGCGGTCCAGCTCTTAATTCCGGTTTCCCGAATAATCAAAAAAAATTAATTTAAAAATAAAACTGTTACAGAATTGACCAAACTAAAAGTTATACTCCATGGGTACATACGGTATCCAATCACAAGTCTACTGAAGACAAAGGCCAGTAAACTGTCAAAATGTACGGAGAAAGCAGAGTTTATTGAAAGATCAAATGCTCATCTTGTGAGCGGGTGGGATCGTGGCCACACCTGGCGGAGGAGATCTCAACCACACTCTTCATTCTGCGTGGCCTCTGAGATCAGCTTCGGCAATGCGCAAAACACGAAGTTAAGCCAAGGAATGTGCCACTAGGTCAAAGACGAGGCTAGAGCCTCCAATTCATTTTTTTTTCTTTTTTTATTGGCGTTTCACGTAAGCAAACAAAAAGCGCCGTCATGATTCCGGCGCTGCATCATGGAACAGTTGCTGAATAATATCAGTGGCACTGACCTTCCGAGAATCTTGGAGACGCATCCGTTGGAGACCTGCAGGATGCGCGAGATGTCGCACGGCCGGGCCCCGGAGTGCGCCAGCTCGACGATCTTCTGCCTCGTGGAGTCCGGCAGGGGGCGCCCGTTGACATACACGCCTCCGAGCTGGTTGACGCCGCTGTGTCCCTTGTGGGGCATGTGGTCCCCGGACAGCGCTCCCCGAACCAGCGGCTGCAGCTCCACGGTGGACAGCCGCGCCGGCGGGCTCAAGGCCCGCGTCACCCTGTATGGACATAATAGATAGACATATACTATATGTAGTAACACCACCGGCGGTCTCTCGGTGTATTATGCCGAATCTGCCCTGCTGGTTAACCTGCAGTACCTCCTTCCCCTCTCTATACTCCTGCGCCCAGAATAAGACATCATTTTTATTCCCTCGCGCTGCAGCGATGAAAGTCGTTATCTGCTGTGTTCACATTGTCACGATTGAATATACGCATCTGCGTTGTATATATTGACGCTTACGATATACCGAGGTGCTGAGACTTAAATATGCAAAGAACAGAGCGATGATAAAAAGAAAACGAAATAATAAAATAATCATCGATATGTGGGGTATAATAACCCAAAACTACCATAGGATATTGAAAAACGCCGTAGTGGAGGGCTCCGGAAATTTCGACCAGCTGGCTTCTTTAACGTGCACCATAATTCGAGTACACGGGCCTACATCATTTTCGCCTCTATAGAAAATGCAGCCACCGCAGCCGGGATTCGATGCAGCCGAGTACCTTAGCCACTAGACCATCACGGCGAGACATAGTAAAACAAATGTACTCATAATAAATAATTTATATGTATTGCGATGCTCGTCGTAACCAATGTGTGTGTTCTTATACAAAGTATACTTTTTAGATGTGTATACACCGACATTAGTTGGAATGGTCGTTCGAGGACGCTTTTCCGGCGTCGTAAAAACACACCGATTTGCACAAAGGTATGTCTTCGGACGACCAATGAGCGTCGTGGAAGGAACACACACGTCACTTAAACACCCTTGCTTGTACGTGTATGTACACGTCTTGTATAATATTCCATGAGGCATGCATCTGTTGCGTGGCGATCAAAGCATCAGGCTTCGGTATGTCATATCCAGTCGCAAGAACATATTGATCATTTTTATTTGCATTTATCCGGGCTGCGCGCATACACTGACGTCACTCGTTCTGGTGCCTTTTACGTCACTATATATAGCGGATAGGTGGCCGTGTACGCGACGGTGTGTCGTATTCAACACGCTTTGCTGACGTCACTCGAAGCAACATCATGGGTCGTTCGTACCGAAACGGCTGGTGGTAGCTGGAGAAATCGCGCACGCTTTAAAAAACCACGTCATCAAGCGACCGTATGACTGCGCCGGTGCACCAGACATGAACACAGCCCGTCGTCTGTATCCCCAAGATTTTCGCTTTAAATGCGGACCCGCGTCATCACACGGTGCGCGCAAACTAATGAGGCGGAAAATGTGCCTCGCGTCAAGTAGTTCGTCCCAAACACTCATTCTCTGTTTAGTTACATTATTCCTTTTTTTAGAACGTGAAATTTTGATTCTCCGCTTTTTTCCCCTCACTTTTCTGATTTTACTCTTTTTATGCATTTGATACCCCCCTCCCTATCCTATCTGCCTAAAGATCTTCCCTTCTTTTTTTCAAAGATTTCTTTTCAGATTCCCTCCATTAATATGGTCCATACTTACCGCTTGCAAAAGAAGAATAATCTTCGCGCGTGAAATAACGTATGCATGGAGCCCGCATTATCACACCACCGGCGGAGCGTTATAAAAGAAAGTCGAAAAAAAAAGAATGCTATGAAAAATCGAAACCTTCGCGCATGTCCGAACCAGCTGCGGGAGACAGCCAATCAGGACACGCGTGCTTCGGGCGCGTTAATAAGTGGCCACTGAGGCTCATATGATGTTGGGCGCTGCTGCATGAGCCATCCGTCAATCCATGGAGCGCCGAGTGTGCCCGTGCCACCCTTTTACCGTCAGCGTCGCATCTCCGTTCCGTTATAATTGAGTGAATCTTAATGCGCGCATCCTCGTAACATGGCGACCGTTTTCTGTTTTATTTCTTTGTTAGTTTTTGTCCTTGCATTTGCAGTTGTTTTGTGTGCGTGGTTTGTTATCGTTTCCTTTTTTTTTTACCTTGCTGTCTGTGATACATGCATGTGATAAAACCTGTGAGTATCGATTTTAAATAGTGTTGATGTTTTTTTTTTATTTCATACTACGCGATTCGTTTTCGAAATTGCAAAGGTATGCCATACACATTATCTGCGTGCCTTGATCACCTCTCGCTACTATTTATTTGCGCGTTTCGCCTTAAATATATTTGTATGCAAAGGTCCTCAGGGCTGTGCAGTTTAATTGCGTTCAATTTACGGTGAGGTAAGGCAGACGCAAGTTTCACCTGTCCCGTCGTTCTGTTCCGTTTCAGCGTAATTATTTTCAATAAGCGTACACTTGACATCACATTAACCTGACTTCTACATAAACACTCGCATAACGTTGAACAGTTATAGCAGCCGCTGCAGCGGTTGAAGTATTATTTCTACGAATATTTCGCCTTTCTCGTTTTCTTAGTAGGCTCCTATCTGTAGTCATTCAGTTTCAAGCCTGCATGAAATCGGCTGTATAGAGTGTGCCATGCACGCTTATTCAAGCATATCCACTCAGTTAGCCGGGCGGTGAAATACCGGAGACGTCCCCCCCCCCCCCCCCCCCCATTTCTCGTTCGCCATGGCATGACACACAGAGAACAATATGACCATTTACCTGTCCGGGACCCACTTTGGATCAAGGTGATCTCCCACCCGCAGGAAGAAAAAAAAATTCTGCCTAAGCCCCACAGGTATACCGGATTAACGCACTCGTGTTACAAAGAGCTCACTAAAGCCTGCACCGTCAAATGATGATGATGATGATGATGATGATGATGATGATCCTTGATACTCTGGCGCACACCCACAAAGGGGGATCGGCCAAAAACCGGGCGGCAGGATCTTAACTAAAAGGCTTATGTTTTTTCAAACACAACGTAATATTGGGCTGAAAAAAAATATATAAAGAAAAGCCGAAAATCGAAAAAGGAGTATATCTGAGCAGGGAGCGATGCAGGCTATCAGATGCGATTTGAGACAGAGGTAATGGTGGGTCTAAAATGATTATATATATATATATATATATATATATATATATATATATATATATATATATATATATATATATATATATATATATATATATCCACATATTCTTCAAATTCTTTAAAACATGACGCGCGCGCACGCATGAAAGGTAAATACGCGGTATGTATTAGCAGCTATTTGACTCGCGGAAAGCGGCACTTCAAAAACAATCTCGCAGTCACCGCCGCGCCTTAGAGACCTCGTAAAGTCAAACACACGGCCCAGACGGCGACGGAACGCGCACGACTTCCAAGTGCTCAATCAAAAAATGAGTACATATAGGAGGGTGAGGTAGGGGGACACGTTTAAGGCGCAGCGGGTGGGTGGAGGGCAACCCGCAGATATGGGGAGAGGTGGAGGAAGGAAGAAACGCGCAACAGTGTTGGCCCCCCTAGAGAAATCTTATAAAAAAGAGGCAATGTTATAGGTACCGTCTTTACTCGATTATAACACGCGCTTCTTTGACTTAGTTTAGCATGACACAAGTGTTAGAATATAAAAGTATATAGAAAGGTCACGCCTTGTTCTATAAGTTACCCCACACGATTGTAAGGTCTTCCCTCTCTCTCTATCTCGCCTTCTACCCATTATAGTGCGAAGCTATGCCTATACCAGTGTATTCACTGTCTATATCTCTCCTGCTTCTACTTGCAATTTATTCCCCTGGCACTGCCTGCACTTCGCGAGCTCTCGGTCAGCTGAGATGGTATTGCAGTGTGGCTGTTCTAGATAATGCGTTAGTACCGGGTTCGAAACCCGGTCATGACGATTGTTTTTTCTTTCTTCGAACCCCTCCCTTCTATGCAGGTGTACAAGGAGCTTTCTATGCATATGTTTTCATAAACTGCACGGCAGTGGACGGTGTTTTCCTTTCTTAAGTCTTGTTTAATAACCTTGCAGACTTCCGCAAATCTTTCGTGCCCACACGCGAAAAAAAAAAAATCTGGTGCGCGTTGCAGTCGAGTAAATACGGTAAGCAGGTAACTGCGGTAAAAAGAAAGGAACTATAAGTGGACTTGGGGCTCAGAACAAGGTTGAGGTGACGTTTCGGCTCTATGTGTGTGCAGTGCTATATATGCACGCACGCAGGTCGAGCGACGCATGCCCGCTGCCGTTTTGACGGATTAGGCAGAGCTTTGCGAGCACGCGGCGCGCTGTGTGGTGTACAGGATATGTAATATATACACACGATAAAGCACGTTTTCGAGCCGCAGCCGTCACTGCTTTCGAAATCGGCACAAGTCAAGCCGTGCCTCGGCAGCATTGCGCAGGAACGAGAGCACGACCGCGGTTTTCCAGCTAAGATGATTTATACATATATACCCGGCTTTATTTGACTGATCTCTATACCATGCACGTTTTTGGCGGAACCAGAGTACCACGAAAAAAACTGTAGACCCACATATTTTGATTAGAATTCCGTTGCTGGGCAGGAATTCATTACTCTGCGAAGCATCCCAGTGGCTTGATCGTATTCGGGACAATTGTGGAATTAAGCGTGAATCAAGGAATGACTCTGGAATGGACTTTATTTGATTCTACTTTTCCGCTTCATTCTTTTTTTTTTATTGCGCGTGAATCAAGGAAATGAAGCAGCACGCGTACACATGACACCACGTTTCACATGCAATGCTTGTCGTTTACAACGTGACGTGTAGTTCAGGAAGTGACGTCTTTGATAACAGAATTACGTGCAGGAAGCCAGCACGAAATACTCGAAGTAAATTAATTATGTAAGTATCAATTTTAGTACGCCAAAGTATTTCATGTCTACAGCGTATATTTTCAGTGCCCCGCTCTCTCATTTCGTGGCATAGCGACATATTTATGCAGCTTGCAGAACGATCAACGTCTCGCGGAGCTTCAAAAAAAACGCTATAGCCTGGACGTCGAGATGCTCCGCGTATCACAAAGCAACAGTTGCAGCCGGGAGCCAGTACGCATGTCGATGTGTGTAAATAACTGTGGCGCAAAGCAAGCGCCGTTTACCGGGTCAGTTTAACAAATGTTCTCTCTCGAAACTGTATAAAT